CTCGTGTTCAGGTCCTATTGTCTCTTTTGATGCTGGCTTCTAATAAAAGCAGGAGCTACCTCCTGTGGATATGGCTTAAGGGCTGGAGGTACCGTAGCAATTGGAACGACTGGTATAGGATCGGAAGGTGCAAGAGGTGGATGAGCAAAGTCAGATAGTACTAGAAAAAGATCAGCTAAAGTAATAATGTGTAACATAGATACTAGTGATACTATGGAGGTTTGCAGGAAACTATGATGTTAATCTGGGACAACCTCCATACCTGGGGCTCTTCTTATTGTCCAGTCAATGCTTAGTGAAGCCGTGACCAGAGGGTGATCCATCTTCATAGAATCCCACATGCACAAAAATAGAAAACAAATACAAGGAGTGAGAAATATTGATCTCAACTCTTGTAAAGGTAAGAATACTTACCTATTAAACTCTTATAGGGGAAACTAGATTTCAATCTAGTTATAGTTACATTACACTAATATAGTATGGATCCATACTTCCACGTTTTGGAAGTGACTGGGAGTACATATGTCCCTACCGATAAATGGTACGATTCAATCCCTCGGATGAATCTCAATATATATCAATAGGATATTCTTATCCTTATCCAAATTTTGGGACGTACTCTCATACCAATCTTGGAATGTTGGAGCAGTCATCGGGGTTACTAAGTTGGTTAGGTGGAGACTCCGATACAAGGTGCTACCTTGACCCTTGGTTTTCTCAACTTCCCAGTACCTTACCCCCAAGGTGTTATCACTAGTGTGAGACCCTTTACCTTTCATCCCTCAGGTTTGTCAAGTTGTAACTTCCAGTGAAGGAAGAAGAAAAGAATTTTGAAACATAAGATAAATGTAATTTATCATAGGTTTTGAAACATAAAAGAAAAAGTGTAAAAGTAGAAGAAAAGAATTTTGGTGAAGAAGGAATAGAAAAGAGAATGGGAGAGGTGAAAGGAGGGATCAGTAAGTAGTTGTCGTAAAGTGTGTAAAAATTTAGGTATATATATAGATAAATGTAGGATTGATCATGTAATAGATGTTGTAAGAATTATATATTTTTTATTTAAAATATTGATTAGGATAAGATCATCATAAATGCTTCTTTATCATCAGATTTTGGATTTTTTTTTTATTTTATCTTTTTTTATTTTTGAATTTTATTAATTATTTTAATATTTTATCAATTATTTTAATATTTCAAGGTTAAAAATTCATTTTAATTTTATTTTAACCCTAATAAATCTCTAATTTTTTTTATGTAAATTATACTTTTATATGTGTCATTAAAAAAATGAACTAACATATTTTGACAACTTTTGAAAGTTAGAATAATACTATTTAGTCTTATCAGACGAGTAAGAGTATTTTGGTTATTTTTTTTCAAAATTTTTGAAAATTCCAAAAAATTCACAAAATTATATTTTAATATATCTAGCATGATTATGAACTCAATCAATCATTTTATAGTTTTCTAATAAATAAAAATTCTCATCAATTCCTAAAAATAGATAGATAAGGGTAAAATCATCTCATAATTTTTCGAACTTTGACTCAAAATAATTATTAAAATCACGATTAAGTAGAATTTAAAATTTTGATCATAATGGTATATGTCATAATTTTGAGATTCCTTTTTGATTTCTAAATATCAAATCTTAAAATAAATAAATAAACAAATATTAAAATTGTGGAATTACATTATTTTTGACAAAATATATATTACATGTTATTGCAAACTTGAAAAATTAGTGTTGTCTTTTAAATGATACCATGATAGACAAAATGGTTCAAATAAGAGGTTTATCTATATTTTAACTCATTATAATGCATAGTTTCATGCTTACAATATTACAATTTAATATATTTTCAATTTACTGTTCAGAGTTAATAAGGAGTAATGGATCCAAAGCCATCATGATTTAGATGTTTAAAAAATAAATTTTGTAATATTTGTTAAATGTTACAAAAGGTGTCAATTGACAACATTTATAAAATGTTACGAGTAATATGTTAGAATGTTGTAAAAGATGTCAATTTGTAATATTTATATGTTACAATTGGTATGTTAAAATGTTACTAAAACTTTTTAGTAATATGAACTTTATACTATATTTGTAAAAATGTTGCTAATTATGATTGGTAAAATTTTTCTTAATTTGATAACATTTTTTAAATGTTTATAAGTGTTAAAAATATTATGGTGAACAGGAAATACTTATTAATAATGATCTAAACAAATTAATTTAATTTATAACATTTTAATAAATATAAATAACAAAATAGTATTAAAAATGTTCAATGTCGTAGTATTTGATATATACCAAGACAATAAAAGGAGATAAAACAGAAAACATTTAAAATTTGTCTGTTTCTCATAAGGTTTTCACAGGAACTCACGGAGCACTCTAATTCATATCAAAACTTGTTTATTTTCAAAACTAAACACATATTCATTCATCTCATTCAACAAGAAACACAAGAGTAGTCTAGGAGTACATGGTTGGTCACACCCTCTACGCATTCTCACTAGAAGGACATGCTACCAGAGTCTCGTCGGGATAGCTAAGCCGCGCAAGATACATCCCATGCACACAATGGGCGAGACTGAGACTTACAAACTGAGCTATCTCCAAGGACTAATCCCCAAAGCTTTTACACGAGGGGGCCTTCTCTGGCATGTATTCCATGTCGTACCCTTAAAAACATTTATGCACATGATGCATGTCAATCAAGACTCTATGCATCCTCATATTACATTATCATGTCTCATTCTCATATCACATAGTCATCATCACATTTCATCATCACATTTTATCACCACATTTATCATCATATTTCATCATCATATCTCATCATTATATTCACATTTCATTGTCATATCACATTATCACATGTCATTCACAATTTTTACAGAGCACTTTAATCTATATTAGAACTTGTCTATTTTCAAAATTAAACACATATTTACACTCCATAAACATCAAGGAACATAACAGAAAAATCAGGAGATAAAACAGAAAACATTTAAAATTTGTCTGTTTCTCATAAGGTTTTCACAGGAACTCACGGAGCACTCTAATTCATATCAAAACTTGTTTATTTTCAAAACTAAACACATATTCATTCATCTCATTCAACAAGAAACACAATAGAGCAATCAGAAAACAAAACAGAAAATGTTCATATTTTGTCTGTTACAATTACAAATTCATTCCCTTAGGGTTTCCCATAGGAACCCATAGAGATCTCAAAATTATACATTTGTATTTAAATAACATTTAAAAATTTGTCTACTTCTCATAGGGTTTCCCGTAGGAACCCGCAGAAATTTCAAATCATACAATTACAATTTTAAAACTGAAATTAATCATTCATTCAAGCAATTCATACAATTAATTACATACAAGAGGAACAATAGATGAAACAGATATAATTGGGGAAAACCTTTCATACATGAGCATACATTCCCACACCCAAAGCAATGTTTCTCACTCCCCCCTTACCTCGATAAGCAGGAGCTGAAACCAAAACAAGACATTGCTAATCTCTTCCTCTGAGTCCCCCTTGGTCTTCAGAGTGTAATAAAAGTGGGACTAAATTGAAACAAACAATTATTATAAGGCACCAAAATAGGTTTTTAGCCAAGAAAAAATGAATTCCTCTCAATAAACTGAGCTGTTACAATAAGAGTTATATATTATTTATATTTTATACAAAATTTCATGTATAAATTTCGTAATTGTCATTATAAATAAAAAAGACTTTGTGAGTAGATATTGGATAAATAATAGTAGTTGTTGGAATAATTTACCGAATATTCTATGTTCTTTAAAAAAAATAGTTATATTAATTAAAGGAGAGAATAGATAATAAATATAAGAATTTAATAATAAAATATTTATATTATAAAATAATTTTATATTATCATTTAATCACAATTCATATTTATTTACTTTTACAATAATTATCTTATTTATTTACGTCTATTTTATTTTATTGATAACACACTTTTCTATATAATAAATATATTTATTTTATTGTTAACACACTTTTCCATATATATTCAATCTAATTCATGAGTTTCAAAACTTTAAATTTAACTGAGGGCGAAAACTTTTAGACATTAAAACAAAAAATAAAATTTAGGTACAACTTTTTAAATGTCATTAATATTATCTTTAATTAGAGTTAAAATTTTATCTTAATATTACACATTTGTATTTAATGTGACTCTTATTAATATATATTTATACATATTATCATAATAAAACTCTTAACTATAATTACAAAACAACACTAACTAACGACTACTAAAAAAACAAAGTTACACCTAAATTTTGTCCTAAAAAAACACTTTTAAAAATCATATGAATCATAATTTTTAATTAATTAATAGTGTAAAACTTTATAAAAAGTGCACATCATGAAATCATAAATATAAATTATAATTTTTTTTAATTAACTGATAATGTAAAACTTTTTAAAAAGTGCATATCCATGAAATGATAAAGATAATTATAGGCATTATGTAAATTATACGAAACCAAACAAGTACCACAAATCCATGGATGCCTCGCCGCCGAAACCTGATAAAGGCCAACTTGGAAAAATAAATAATAAAAAAAATAAAAGAATAAAAAAATAATAACAGAGAGTGAAAAGGGTAACAACTATGGTACCATTTGTCCACCTCACCCAAACATGTGATGCACTTTTACCAAAGTTCAACCTCACAATGACCATATACTCATTAATTTATTATCATGTAATATCATTGTACAATCACAGGAACACAGATAGATTGAGAAAGAAAGTGCATGAAATAGAAATTTTATAATAGCACTTTTATTATATTATATATATATTTTCTCATGGGAGGGAGAAGAAAAAGGGAAACCCCAACCTTTTCCTTTCACTATGAAAAGGACATGGCCCCACTTGCATTATATTTTTTTCCCCTTTTGTTTGCACTTTTTATCAGCTTTTCTTATGTCACATTACCTACACTCACACCCCATTTGCATTATTCTTCTTTTCTTTTCATATCATATCTCATCTCTATTTCTCTGTCTTCTATCTTCTATCTTCCATTCCTTTCTATCACAACTCAACTTCTCAACATAGCATAGCAGAGCACAACAACAGAGGAGAGAGAAAGCAAAAAAAAAGGTAAGAGATAGAAAGGTTTCATGTCTTTTGTTCCCTTCAAAAAGTTCAGCTGCTTCTAGGGTTCTTTCTTTCTTTGCTTTTAAGTTTTGCAAAAACAAAAAAAAAAATGTTTTTTTTTCTTCTTCTTCTGAGAAAGCAAAGCCCTTTTGCTTACCGATCTTGTTCTCTTTGTCTTCCTTGCCTCATGCTTTCCCATCTTTCGTGAAAACTCACGTTTTTGTTTTGTGTATGTATGTGTGTGTTTTTATTTTTTATTTTTATTTTTTTAATAATAATTTTTGGTTTTATATTTATTTTTTGAAGTTCATGTTTTTCTGGGCGTGGAACTTTTGTCTTGGTGGTTAAGGCAAGCAAAAGTTGAGGATTTTAAGGGGTATAGATGTGGTTGGATCAGATGTGTTATTCTTCTTGTCTTTGTTTCTCCAATTCTCCTTTTCTCTTTTCTGCTGTTGTTTTTGTTTATGTGGTGGGTATATGATTCTGTGTTAGTTTAGTGATGTTTCTGACTTTTGGTTATTTAGCCATAACTTTTTGGACTTCGACTTTGTTGTTTTGTTGATGGAAATGCCCTTGTTTATGGATAAAGTGAAATGATATTTTTTCTATGTAAATTTCATTCTGTGCATGGGATGATTTTTATTTATTTTCAAGGCTGAAGTCCCTCTGGTATTTCTTCCTGCAATTATTATTAGTTGATGTTGTCTTGATTATAATTTTTACTATTAGTTTGAAAGAACCAGCTGCTATTGTATATTTACCTTATTTTTTGAGTTTGTTAATTTTTCTTTTTCTTTTTCTTTTGGTAGAATTTGTTTTTCCTCTCTTTTACTTCGAATCCATAATATACAATAGGCATGGAGGCATACATACATGTTTTCATTACTTTTAACTTTTTCTTAGCTTTTTGGTGTTAACTGCAAGTTTTTATAATATTGGTACAACAAATTACTTGCCATGACATCTATACCATTGTTCAGAATTGGCAGTAGTGTTCCCATTTTTTCTTCCTTTTGATCTCTTTATATCACTATGTATCTGCTCTTATTAAAATGTTAAATTATTTTTTCTTGGTTGCTGCTGAACTTACAGTATTAAAATTCTGTTTTCTTTATCACATTGTCTGATGGCCTGTACGTTATATGACAGAATTTGGCTTCTGCATCTTCAGATAAGGAGGAACATCTGTTTTGTGAGACTAAGAGCATATCATAGTTCATAAAAACTGTTACTAGGAGGAGATTCCTTAAGGGGAAAGAAAAAAGTGAGTCTAAAGATGGGTTATCTATGTGATTTTTGTGGAGACCAGAGATCCATGGTGTACTGCCGCTCTGATGCAGCATGCTTATGTTTGTCTTGTGATCGGAATGTTCATTCTGCCAACGCCCTTTCTAGGCGTCATTCACGGACCCTTTTATGTGAGAGATGCAATTCGGAACCTGCCTTTGTAAGGTGTGTTGAAGAGAAAATTTCTCTTTGTCAGAACTGTGATTGGTTGGGTCATGGCACCTCTACATCTTCTTCAGCACATAAGAGACAAGCAATCAATTGTTACTCTGGCTGCCCTTCAGCAGCGGAACTGTCTTCAATATGGTCATTTGTGTTAGATATCACTTCCATTAGTGAATCTACCTGTGAGCAAGAGTTAGGCTTAATGAGTATTAACGAGAACAACAACAAGAGGATTGGGGTTCCATCAGAAAACCAGAATGTGTCTGGTTCAAATCAAGTTACTGATCTGCCTGCTTTGGACAAGTCTTTGGTTGGTACATCTTCAATGCCCGAGTCAAGCTCCAAACCTCAAATTCTGGACCAGCCAGCTGGACCTGCCAATGAATGTCTGCCAAAGGTATAGCTGGATGTCATCATCATTGACATCATGAATCACATCAGCAACAGTTGGGGTGTGTTTGGAAAAATTAGCATATAAACTGGTTGAAAGCTTATAAGTTAAGAGTTAATAAAATGAATCACATTAGCAACAGTTAGGATGTGTTGAATTGAAAATGTTTGGTAAGATTAGCTGATAAACTAGCTAATAAATGTAAAATGACATAGAGGCTTATTTAGTTATTTGAGGTAAAAAAAAAAAAAAAAATTTCAAATAATGAATGAGGGTAAAAATTGAAAAAAAAAAAAAAAACTGATGGTAGTTTATAGGCTAGCTTATTTTCGTAAGCTAGTTGAAGTAGCTAATAAAATAAGCTAGAAGCAGACTAAAATAAGTTTGTGTACCAAACATAAGCTCCTCCACTGTCCTGCCAAATACATTCTAGGTGTAATAGACTTTCTAACAACAGTAATGGGAATGAAATTGCAAGTTTGCTAGGGATGAGTGCTTTGTCTCAATTTCTTTGATGGTTTTAATAAGCTCCTCCACTGTCCTGCCAAGTTTGCAAGTTTCCCCATATAGAAGCCTCAGTGTATTGACAAGATTATTCACTGAATAGTGAATAATATTTCCTTTGGTTGAATTATCAAGTTTTGTGGTTGTTTCATAAGCTGCTTGCTTTGGTTATTTTATTGTTTCTTTGTCTAAGGTATATTTTAGTTTTGCAGAAATAACAGCTTTCCTTATTTATTGGTAGCTTGAACTGAAAACCGAAGCAGGCATATTTCTATCACCAGTAGATAGTGCAGTTAAAAGCCCAACATATATGATTTTGCCTAATTGTATCTTGTTTACTGAAATGAGTTAACAAAACTTTAATGTTCTACATTAAAATTCTTGTAATTTCATCATATTACATTGATATTATCTCATTTTAATTTGCAGTTATACTGTCCTGCTACAAAAGGCCCTGCACTATGTGAAGATGATTATCTGTATGATGATTTCGACATGGATGAAGTGGATATAAATCTTGAGAGCTATGAAGAACTTTTTGGTGTGGCCCTTAGTCATTCTGAAGAGCTATTTGAAAATGGTGGAATTGATAGCTTGTTTGAGACAAAGGACATGTCTGCTGGAGATTCCAATTGTCAGGATACTATTGCTGCTGAGGTGCTAAATTCTTGCCATTCTTTGTCTGTGATAATCATGGCTTTTCTAGTATTTGAGCATCACATGTTATGTTCAGTATACTTCATACAATAATGTTAATAGTGTATTCACAAATGTGCATTTTTTTTATACAATGATGTTACATTCTTGCCAATTTTTTATACGTCATACAATGATGTTATTTTAACTGCAATCATAAAAAATATGGCTATGATCAGCCTCAGTCCCAACAGGGATTTTTTGACATGTTGCATTATAAGTGTGCTCTGATGTGATATTGAATAGCTTTGCACTATTATTTGATTAAGAATGTATGGGTTTGTTTGATTCTATTTTTGTTTTTATATTCTTTAAAACTATTTTGCATAATAGCTTTTGTAAACTGTTTGAGAATAATTAAGAAAAAATTTGTTTGATTGGGTGATTTACACGTCTGCCACCATGAAAACAAAAGTGCAGCTTTGAAAACATCCTTACATTCTTCTGATTTTCTTGTTTCTAAAAATAGGTTTTAAGAAAGTGTTTTTATAGCCAAAAGCACAATAACACCTTATCAAATAAGTTTTTTATTTTTATTTTTATTTATTTTCTGTTTTGAAATTGAAAATAAGAAAACTGTTTTTAGAAATAGCGATCAAATCTAGGTTCAATCTTTATCACCGTCTTTATAATATTTCCTATAGACAAAAAAAGATAGAAACAGCGGTCAAACAGTCCCTAGGTCAATTTTTCTTGTTTCTTCTTTTTATTGCTATTATTTTTTGCTTGTCCTCTGACTTGTTCCTTCTCTGCCTTTTCATAATATTCTCTTTTATTTAGAATAAAATATTTAGGCCAGTTACTATGCCTACCCTACCCTTATCTATTTTATTTCAACTTTAAGCTGTCTGCTTTGGAATGTGATACTTGGTCTACACTGCTGTAATATGAATGAATTACTGTTGGACATTGTAGAGCTGCACTGCCTTCTATCTCCTATTGCAAGTCATTATTGTGAATTAAGAAAAGAAAAGAATAAAATGAAGTCACTCCATGTCTTGAACAACTTCATTCTAGCTGATTTACACCCGTGAATCAATTTTAAGCAGAGTGCTGATGGTAATAACTGCGTGAGATAAATAATAAAATGAGAAGAAAAAAAAGATCTCTTCTGCTTTCACATGTGAAATTCTTATGTGCATTTGAGTAACATTGATGCTATGCTTATACTTGAAGTATGAATCTGGTTCTTTTGGTCTTCTGAAAATGGTGATAGATTGTCAATTATCGTGGTTATATGCCACGTGTAACTTAGGTCTTTAACAATCATTTTTTTTTTTACTCCACTAGTCTTTCTAAGGACCCCTTCAATTACTCAATTCGTCGATTTAATTAAGCTATAAATCAAGTATGCTGCCTGCATACAAGATTTCTCTCCAAAATTCTCTTTTAACTCACATAATCTTGTTAACTTCATAATTCTTCTGAAATTTGATCAAACTGATAATGCAATAACAAACTGTTAGACATTCATAAGTCTCCGGTATTACCTTAGGCTTTTAGGAGAATTGGTCCCTGACATGGCATCAAAGCCTTTATGATCAAGTGGTCCAGAGTTCAAATACTGTTGTCCCCATTCTTTGAAATAAAAGTTGAACTTCAACACATGATTCAAGCCCAAAGGGCTCCAACGTGAGGGATGTGTAAGATGTAAAAACCATTATTGGGCCTCCACCTGATAGACTAAGCCTTTAGAAGGGTTGGTCCTTGACAAACAATCAAAGTGCTGATGTTATAAAAACTGATTGCTTGAATTTGCATAAGTTTAAAGAAATAAATAACACAAAACATCATTGTATTTCATTACTTAAATCTATGATACTTATTTGAAGGGGTAAATAATTTTGTTAACCTGCATATGGTCGATGCATTCAAATGTGGAGAATAAGATGTTTACTGTGCAGTGTGATGCATGTTTACAATGTGTGGTTAACATTTCTTTCATGGAATACTTATTTTCAGATCTAACTTTTTGTCCAGGGGTCATCAATAGGAGTGATCAATGCAATGCAACCAGCTTGCAGCAATGCAGCATCTGCAGATTCCATTTTGAGTACTAAAACTGAACCAATTATTTGTTTCACGGGAAGGCAAGCCCAATCAAACCTTTCTTTTTCTGGCATTACTGGAGAGAATAGCACCGGAGACTATCAAGAGATTCAAGACTGTGGGGCTTCTTCAATGCTCCTCATGGGAGAACCTCCTTGGTTTACTCCTTGTCCTGAGAATTCCCTACAATCTGCCAACCGCAGTAATGCTGTCATGCGATACAAGGAAAAGAAGAAGACACGGAAGTAAGTGATTACGATAATACTTTTTAGGTTTAAATGTATTTAGTCCCTCAAATGAATACGAGGTAAATTTATTTGTGGTTTCTAAAATTTAAAATAGATTTATTTAGTCCTATAATTTGAAAAAATATTATTTTAGTTCCTTTTTTAACTAACATTAGTGAATCTGTTAAATACTATCACATAGAATCCATCTACTAGTGTCCTTGTTTGTGAAAATATCACATTAAATTGAATTGATGCTATATGATTATCTCAATCTTGTACTATAGTTATCTTATTGGTGATGAGTTTAATAAAAAATTTTCCAAATTACAAGATTAAAAACTTCAATTTTAGATTTGAGGATCAAGAGCAGATTTATTTCAAATTTGAGGGACTAAAATAATTTTTAAGCCTACTTTTTAAATTAAACTGCTCTTACCTCCCCAGGATTTTGCTTTCTATCTCACAATGGATGGGTGTTGCTTAAATATTGGCAATTGTTGGGATTAAAGTATTGAGGGCCATAATTGATTATGGTCTTTGTTATGTTTTCCACTTGCTATTATTGGGTTGATCTTTTCTTTGCTACCAAGCTAGATTTCTCTTTCCTAACTCCGAATTGAATGATCATCCATTGTTATAATCTTATTAGGTTCGACAAAAAAGTGAGGTATGCCTCTCGCAAGGCAAGGGCAGATGTCAGAAGGCGTGTGAAAGGCAGGTTTGTGAAAGCCGGCGACGTCTACGATTATGACCCTTTGAGCGCAACCAGAAGCTTCTGAGTGTACAACTTTTAACCATGCTTTATAAAAGGAAAAACAGTCATATACCTGAAAAATGGATGAAATTTGATGCCTGCAATGACAAGCTGTCTGATTTTATCACAGGGGCCTATTGATGTTCTTCAAGGCTGTGTTCAACAGTGTAAGCTCAGGATCAGGAGCTGAATCTTTGTCCTTCACTGTGAAGGATGTCCAACTTGTGATAGTTATATCACAAAGTGTCCCCTTCAGGCAATGTGTTTGGATTGCCTTTCTGTTAAGCTTGGAAATTTCTGCTGCATAACTCTCCTTTCCAAGAATTCAAAAGTGTTCTATGTTCTCTGGCCTTAACCATACTCCATGTTTGTGATGTGGTCGTGTATGTAGAGTGCCTGAGATGACATGATAAGTGGCTTTATTTGACAGTTCCAGATAAACTACAAAGATTGTAAAGTGTAATATTTGACCTCTTGGCTTTGACATGTATAGCACACAATCTACATGTATAATTTTGCCCATGTAATCAGACAAAATTGTAAATTCAATGCCCCATGTATAGAATAGAATACTAATATACTATGCATGTATGTACCAATACAAGTTTTGTTTGTGACTTGTTACTTGTTATTTTATTCGGGTGCCTTCTTGTTGCGCTTCAATTACATTTGCATGGCCTATTTACATTAATTGTAAATAACAATTTCATGTGTCAATGTGTAAATTGTGTTATTTCAATTAACCAAAAAAAAAATGGCAATTTTTACAATCTATTCTAATTTATACATAACCTAGATCAAGAATATAGCCGAATAAAGAATCACATGGTCAATGATTACTTGGTACGTTTTCTTAATGTTGACTAAAATGAATAAAACAATATATTCGTTTGTCAATAAATTTTAGGGTTTAGGGATTAGTTGACTTGACTTTTTTAATTACAAAATATCTTTTTGGTGCATAAGTTGACGTGATTTATAGAATAATTCTAATTTTTAAGACAGAAATTTAGTTTTTTTTAATCAATAAGGAGGATTACACAACGAATCTAAGATTTCTTTCAATTTTTACAATTTTGTTTTTTCTTTTTGCTTTTAATAACAAGCTAGATGATCCAGCTCAACTTGAATGTGATTGGGTCGGCACATAACTTAACTTTTACGACTATGAATATAGAATTTCTCCAAACTTGACCTAAGGTGATTTGTGATCACATTTAGAAGTAAGTATTCAATCCAAGTAGATTATGGGGAAAAGTGAAATGAGAGAGACTATTGTCAATGAAAGGTTTTATTTTTCAATCATATTGAAAAAAGTTCAACTCGTAATTTATGGGCCCAATGAATGTTATTTATTTTCCACGACAAATATTGCATAGATGGCGTGGTAACCGGTACGAGAAGTAGAGTTATCAATATCCCAACCCCAACCCATTTTCAACTTTATCAAATCCATTTTTTTAAATATTTTAGTTTTTTTTATTAATCCTCTTAAATAATGTTTAACTCAATATTTTAAACTTCTTTTGTTTAAAAAAGGTTGAGCTAAACACAATTTAAAATTTTCTAAAATATAAAAACAACATTTGTTTTAATATAGAAATGCTAAAAAAAGAGTGTTGGTATTGAATTTGTGACTTATTAACCGTGGAAATAGCTAATTCGTAATAAATGATTTTCATTAGACAATTGATTCAAAGAACGGATTTTTTTTATTGGGTTCGATTTCTAAATAACTTTTTAGCAGTTCTGATGTTGAAGTTTTTAATACTCTACTTTTCGTAGGAATGCGATGAAGAAATTGTTCTAAATGGCTGGAAAATAAAGGAAAACGATAAATAGTAAGCTTTTCAAAGCTTGAATAAAATTACTATGAACAATAAATTTTTATTGATTGTGATCATGAACCTCTTTTATAATGAAAAATCATCTTTTTTAATGATTGTTTGCCAACTAATCATTTTGTCTTGGAAACTACCCACTTCCCTAATTCTAGGAGATTATGGGATGTTTAACTCTGAAATGTGTACGATGGGTTATAATTGTATAACTTGCTTTAGGAAAAAAAATTAACGGGTCCACTCAATTCCATAAAAACAGCTAATGACAACGGAATATTTGAGGGTTTAACTTTTAGTTTTTTTACAAAACGTCAATGAATGATAAAAAGAGAGAAAACGGAAAACTTAAAAGACTAAAACAAGAAACGATAAAAATATGATTTATACATTTCTATTTATAGATAAAATTAGGCAATTTTTTAAATATTTCTATCTCAGCAAGTTAGATGATCGTGTTTGGTAGTTAATGTGCTTCCTCGTTAGGACGTGTTCTTGAGGCAGGGAGTGCTTTAAGGTAAAGCACCACCATGCTTAGTACATGGGTGTGAGCTTCAGGAGTATGAGTCTGCTTCTCTTGAATTTAACTAATTACTATGTATAATAATAATAATTATTATTATTATTATTTTATAAGAGATGAGTATTTAATTGTGTTAAAATTGTTTTTATTGACAGATTAAATGTAGGTTAAGGTTTTTAAACTTTTCCTATTTATATAGTAAGTTAAGATTGTCTCACGTTTCACATTCTAAATTCCACACTTTTGCACTTTGAAGAGGAGAAAGAAACTTATTATTAAGAAAGAACAATAACAAAACACAAAAGAGAATAATAATAATTCTTAATTGTTTTTATTGTAATCTATGTTATCTGTGGTTCTCTTGAATTCTAAGTATGTTAATAAACCATATTTTTGTCTCTAATATGTGTGATTACCCCTATTTATGAATTTGTGAGTGTTTGTGAGTTCTTAGAGAAACCCTGAGGATTGGGACAAAGCAAATTATTTGAGAAACAATATGTAAATAAGAAAATTATAGAGTAGAAAAGATTAATTATGTTATAGATTTCCCTAACATTGAATAAATTCGTAATAACATGTTTTGGAAATTAATTGTGCATAACTCGTGTTTTCTACATAAGAGACCTTATTGATACTATGTCAGACAACGTGATAGAGAGTGTGGAAGGCTCTTTGTGATGATCATGCTAGGCATGAAAGTTATCTAGTGTTCTCTATAGTGATAGTGCCGAGAGTTGGAGAAATCACATCGAGCATAGGAGCTTCAATGGACTCCTTGTTGCAAATTCGCTTGGTGTTGGGACATTGCATCGAGCGTGACCTTCCAAAGATAAATTAAGTTGCTATTTGTTTGGACCATGTTAGGCATAGTGATGGAAGACCCTTTGGAGAGACTAGATTGATGTAGTTCTCCTCCAAATCTTCATGAACGGATTTTTCCTCCTTGGTCTCCTCCTAGCTTTTCCAATGGTGTTAGAATCCATCATCCAACACATATGAAGAGGTAGAATCCCCCTTGGTTGACGCCACACTCCAGGAGTGATAAGTCACTTCAAATCTTACCACACTCAAGAGAGGATAAGAGAAATGGAACAAGTTTCAAGGGAGAAACAAGTTTTGAGGGAGAGAATTAGAGAAAATTCAATATAATTCACATAAACTCCAAAGTGATTTCGGCCATTACATGTATTCCTACATATAGAAGTTTGGTTAGCTTATGGTGCAAGCTAGACTAACCATGGTCAAATAAAACCATGGTTAGCTATCTTGTACTTAAGCTAACCAACTCTACTTACCTTCCTAGAAGATTATGGAGCAAGCTAAGATAATCCTAGTTTAGAAATAACCTAGGTTAGCTTAAGTTAACTCCATCTACCTAACCTAATGATTACTTTTAACTAATTTGTTGATATGTCACTTTCAAGGCCATGTGACTTATTTTAACAAACTTGGATGGCTTCCTCACCAAGCTTGGATGTCCAAACCACTTGCTTAGGCAAGTGGACATCCAATCTTGGTGGATTTGAAGTTTTTTTTGGGTCATCCAAGCCCAAATAAGTCCATAGTCTAGTTACACCTTCCCTAAACTACTAATTACACCCCTAAAGAAAAATACAAGGACAAAAATTCCTATATTACTTGACCCAAAATACATGGTCAAAAATATCCTATACAATCACTATTAAGAAGAAAAAAAATGTAAAACAATCAATAGGAGTCCTTAAGGGAAGATAGGCCTCCAAATGTAGGGTACCCTACAAAATAAGGGTAAATGCCCTACAATTCTTCTAACCATCTTTATCATCCTTCACCCTTCTTGGTCTTATCTTTTCCAAAAGGATTCTTGGGAAGTAGGTTTCCATCACATAGGGTGTTCATTGTCAAGCGTCACCTTGTTCTTGCGCCTAAAATACATACCATTGATTGATGAGCTGGAATATACAAATCATATGAACTAATTGGTTATATTGAATGAACTATATTTAATTAAGAGTGTTGTGTTGAGTTTTGATGGAATATATGTGTTGGCTAAAGTGGTTCTTGAAATTATGGGATATATGCTATGCAAGAAAAACGTGGGATTAATCATGTCACTAAGTCTAAGTCTAACTTAGTAGAGTGAAAGTTTGGGTGAAATTGCCTAGTAAGGATGTGACCATTGTAACTTGAGAATTGTAAATATGATTGATATGAACAAGTGTAGAGTCTTGTGAGACATGCATTATGTGCATAATGTGTTTTGTGATAGGTACAATGCAAAATATGTTGTTAGGGAAGGTCCCCCATGTGTAAAAGCTTGGGAATTCATAACTTCGAGGACAATTGGGTTTGAGAACCCCAATCTTGCTTGTTTGTGTGCATGGGGTGAAACTTGTGCCACATAGTTGTCCTAACACGCCATTGGTGTATCTCCTCCTAGTGTAGAGTGTTGTCATGGTTTTGACCTAGCATGTTCTCCTAGGCTACTCATGTCTTCAAGTCAGGATAAGTGATTTTAGTAGCACCACATGCATATAATTTACGAGAGATTTATCCATTGCATGATCATGGCATCCTCATTGATTGGGAACTATGAATTTAATAAATGATGTGATATAGAACTTGGTGTATCTTGAGATTAAGTATAAATGTATGCATGTTATGTAGTTATAATTTGATTAGTTATGAGTTGTGAATGCAATAATTGTTGAATATGTGAGATAATTACTGTTGTGATATATATATATATATATATATATAT